CCCCTCCCTCCCCACTCCACTGATTGCATGAGATGCGAGTTAAACATTCCCCTAAGCTGTTTAAACAAATCTAGATGTGCGCACACCGATTTTACCTTCTATTCATATTTACAATACTTTACAAGCTATATTAAATAAATATGGGCTCTGCTACACCTCGGCATCTTAAATATGTACAACATTATTTCTCAGTCGGATTTTACTAGATAGATACGGGTCCCACCACAGTGGATGTGCTGACGGTAACAAGTATCCCTGTGGTATGAGCTAGTAAGTGCCATGACCAACCAGCCCTCAAAATAACAATTTCTAGGCAATGCAAGATGTGTGGTAAATAATTTAATCTGTTCTAATAAATTCAAGTCCTCAAATCTTAGTCTACAAGTAATTAGCTGTACACTGATAATTTCAGGTTTCCCTCATGGTAACCAATGTAGTAAATAGTCAGATGTTCTGGAAGTACAGTGCTGTGTAGCTGAGGGGAGTGATGCATGGGCAGTAAAAATAGTGTTTCAGTGAAAGTCCTTTGTTTATTGATATGTTTAACTTGGTACTGGCTTTATTCATGTAATCTGAAGAATTTAAGCACCAAAAAAAGAACAACAGTCACACAAGATGTTCGGTGTAGACGTATTTAGGCTTTCCTTTAGGTACAACATCTTCAAGTAATAGAATCCAAAGCTATGCAACAAAGATGACAAAGGGGAGTAAGTGTGCAACGTATTGGAAAGCCCATCCTTGCTATTTATTCTATACATTATTTGCAAAAGAATGGAATGTATTCTCATTTTTTAAGCTACTTTGATCATACATAAATTGGATTAGAGTCAGCCATGAGTGGTTTAGAAAATGCATCTTGTACCTCTCTGTCAGGAAGGGTCATTTTCTACTACAAGAGGTGCATGCCCTGCGGACAGCAGCTTGTTACTCAGCCAGCAGTATCACTGAACCACCATGGGCCAAACATGCCCTACAATTAGTATTTCACCAAAGCATCTAGGCAAGCCTCATTCTCTCGCAGGGTTACTGACACTGGGACTCGAACAAATGCCCAGCAGGCCACTGCATATAACACAAAGCTGCTCTGGAAACTCTCATACAGCAGCTTTCAACTGCCGGGCACTAAGCTACAAGATACTAAAATTTTGCTTGTGTGTCACAAACACTATCATCACTAGAGGCATCAAAACTGGTGTAAGCCCTCTTAACAAGCAGCAGAGCTCCCCTTCTCTCGCCATCCCCAGGCAAGGAATGTATCACATCCACAGGTTCTCATAATAAGCTGCCACTGCCTGTCCTCTGCCTACTATGCAGCTCCAGAAAGTAGAAGAGGCTCCAGACACAGAGCTATCTGCCTGGCACTCATCACAAGCAATAGGACTAGATTTTGTTCAATTCATAAGAAGCTTGTTCTAAAGTAACGTAGCATATACATTGGTCCCGCACACTTGGAATCTGTCTGATGAAAATTAATGTGCAAAAAAGTATGTGCAATTGCACACATAGCCTGTTGGTGTAATTACCAGAAGCCTGCTCAGAAATCTGCAGTCACAGGAGCAGCTGTTCAGCTAAATGCTCCTGTATGTAAGCAGAGTAATCACACCAGCACGTTGGATGCAGAACATTGGACACCAACTGGAAAGTCCAAATACTGTGGTTTCTACATGATAAAATGGTTTAAGAATCAAATGGCATCACACCTGGTTCAATGGTAAGCAGCAGGTGGTATCACACCTAACAACATTCAGTAGGAGATAAGTCCACCTGCGCTATGGAGAGAGATCCCAGACAGTGCATACATGGCCTCTTTAAAGTCCAGGATTCTAAACCACTTTTTAAAAGATACATTTCACATCTATTTACAATGTAATGGCAATACAATGCATGGTTGTGTAATATCATGGAAATACATGATGCCAGTACTGATTGTCCTAGTATATACTCTGTCATGATAAGGCAGTACAACTAGAAATTACTGAAAGCATCAAGCAAAGCTACTTGAACTGAGACACTGAAACTTTTCTCTTAAGGACTGGACAATATTCTGCTGATTAGGAGATGGTACTCTCCACAGGTAGCCATTCAGTTTATCTGGATCACTATATGCAGTCAGATATGGGGTAAGTGCATGTTTGCTGCTGGCAGACTTTGCAGGAGTACAGGAGACAGTTTTGCCGCATAGTGTTTCAGAAGGAGCAGCATCTGCATTATGCAGCTTAGGATCTGATTTCCTTGTTTGGTTCTGAGAAGTCTCCAAGTCAGATCCCTCATCTTCAGATTTTATCTCAACATAGTCATCATCATCATCCCCTTCTCCTTCTTCAGAATCTTTGAAATTCAAAAAGTAGTTCTGAGTGGCCATCTGTGCTGTCAGAGGGGAGGCCCTGTTCACCCTTAGGACCTTTTGAGAATCCTGCAGAATCATATCTGAACAGTTTTCAGGGATCTGCTTTCTTATCTCCGGCCCTGTGCATCCTGAAGCAATACCAGGTGTTTGATGGCTGTTGAATCGCAAGTTTCTATTCAAATGGAGCTTTTTCTTATCAATTTCATTAGCATATACAATTGATTCTCCAGACCTGTTGACCACAATTGAGGATGATGACTGCGACCTGCTGTATGCCTGTGGTTTTACACTGCTTACCCTCCTCCCAAGAGAGTTATAGACGTGATCTTGATGTAAGTTTTCTTTGTTCGGTTGGCTTATAATGGCGCTCCACCTCTGTGCTGGGACATGCAAACGGTTAGAAATCTGAAGGGAAGGCACTGAGCCAGCTGATGGCAACTGCTTCGAATTGCTTTTTGCATCAGCTTCTGTATATGAGTTCTTGGACTTTGGGTCTTGGGATTCAGACCATGGAGAGAAGTCGGCCAGCTCACCGTTACTGTACGTAGAATGCAAAAGCCAATCTTCCGCTCTTGAGCATTCACTGGCAGGCTGGGAACGGGGAGGAGATGTGGCCACAGACGTGGAAAACCTCACAGCTGATGACTCCTGAGGAGTGGACCAGGCTTCCTTTTGGACCTTAGGTGTACTGTCTCTAAAGCCAATTTGGTCATAAAGCTGGGAATATTCAGCTATTCTGGCACCTAGAAAGGAGAGAGAATCAACTTAGCAAAGACAAAGAATCCATTCCAATGAATCATGTGACAATTTGAAAATCTGAAAATGCTTAGTGTCAGTCAAGGGAAAAGTTTTCAGCTGTGTCAATATCTTCGGCCTCCACCAAGTTACATGAAACAATGGTGGCTGGAGGAGCCCTTGCATCACGTTTCAGTACACTCTATTGAGAAAGAGAGGCATGAAATATCTTGCTATAGTGGGCAGTCATGCAGGACACAATGCAGCATGAGGTTCCAATAATATGCTGTTTGTTTCATGTTAAAATGGAAAAGCACATTCTAAAAATGGCCTGGTAAATAAGATATTTAGGGACTTCTATAAATATCACAAGAAGGCAAGAATGATACTCTAGTGCATGGCGTGTGCTGGCTCCATGTCTTCGGTTTGTTTCAGTTGACCACAGACAAAAATAGTTCCAGAGCTGCTGCATACCCACAACATTGCACAGTCATCAGATAGAGCAAGACCACCAGCTCCTTCTTATCTGACCCCATTCCTTATGTGTATGGGTGTGATTGTGGTACCCGAGCAAATGTACATGACTTATTAGAAGGTGGACCAACTTGAAAATACACCATTTTAGTCAAACTCTGAAGATGACACTATTAGAGGAAATAACTTTTTTTTCTGTAAAGAGGCCAATATTGCTTCAGGCATGATTTCTATTTCCAACCACAGCTGAATTGCTCTTCCCTGACACCACCCCGCTATTTCTTCCCAAAGTTATCAAGTAACAAGAAGAGATGAGATATAAAGGACTATTCATGTTAAAGCAGTTCCAGAACACTCATTTCAGTGCTAACACAGAAAATATGATACAGATACTCAGCGAACAAGATGGGGGAAATTCATCAGAACACAAATTTCACTGAAAGTTACTCAAGAAACGTATCTGTATAGAAATGTTTTTAACTTACCAATAGCAGGACCCCCTTGTTTCTTCTCCTCCAGAATAGCAGCAAGATCTTTGTGTTTTAGTTTCTGTTGTCTGCTAGCTGGCTGTTCCTGCTCTGGACTCTTAACTTTCAACAGCTGGTTAGCCTTTTTAATTTTTTGACTGTACTGCCTTGCCATCATGAAAACTCTGTTCTTTGTTTTATCCACAACAGCCAAGTCATTTTCCATGCCCTCTGCATGCGCATTGGACAGAACACTATTGCCAGGTTCATACGGACTATCTACAAAAGGCATCTCACTGGAGAAAGATGATCTGTTCAGAGTCAGAAGAGAGTTCTCCTTGCCTGGTGTAGTGTCTTCAAACCTGAGATTAGCCTCACTTATGGTGGCAGCCCTGGGCTTCACAGTTTTAGGGAAAATAGGAGCTTCTGGCAAAGAAAGAGTAGACAGTGAGTACTCTACATCTTTACTCAGTTCAGGTGTACTACCAGCATGCAGCCTTTCCTGCATATCATCTTTACAAACAGGAAAGGCTGCAAGGACACGGTCTCTTGTCTTTTCCTCATTTTTCTTGATGTAGTTCTCCAGGTCATTCCAAATCTCATCTACTTCCTCTGAGAGTTTATCTGCTGCAGACTTATGGGACAGTGAATCTGAGTTGGAGGAGCTATCTACTAAGCTCAAATAGTCATTGTCGACAGGAACACGATGGTAAGGACTTTCATCTTCACTGAACTGCAGACTCTCTTCGGAAACAAAATGTTGTAGATTGTCACAATAGGCAAGGTCTTTTTCCAGAAAACTCCTCCTTTTAGAGGATTTTACAGGATCACATTTAAACTTCAATAGTGGTACTTCTGAAAGCACTATGGTGTCATAGATGTTGTCTTCAACAATCCTGAGCTCATCCAAACTTGAAGCAGGTGCTTCTTTACTGAGTAGTATCTCCTCCCTACTAGTGTGAATGGAGGCCCTGTTTTGATTAGCTGTTCTCTTTTTGGAGGGTGAATCTAAGCTGCTTTTGTTTTCAGCCTCATAGAGAGAGTCTCTAGCAGATCTCTGTGGGCCACGGGGTGTCTCCTCCCTTCTTGTCAAACCCATCAACTTTAAGTCTTCATAGCTTATATTATCATAAACATGTTCAATATCATCGATAGTCAACTCCTCTGAAGATTTGGGATAGGTATTCCTACTGCTCACCTCTGCTATCTTCACTTCCCTTCGAGAACCACGCTCCCCTATTTTATACCTTGTGCTGGCTGGACACGTGTTACTTTCACCAGCACTACTGGCTCGTCTAACAATTTTATGACGAGTGGGGCTGGAAGTCTCATTTTGATGTACTACCCCCAAGTGCCAGCTGCATGGACGCCCAGAAGATCCCCTCCTTTCTCCACCAACAGCTGAACTTGAATTGGATGTAGACATTGACGGTACAAACATCTGATAATCGTCTTCATCATCTTCATTCTCGTAAGGCGGGCGCCGGCTGGGAAACAACGCCTGCCTGATCTGATGGTCTGTCCAGATGTTTCTGACAGAGGTACTTCCCCCCAGGATATTCATGATTAGAGAGTTGCTCTGGGGTGTGCTGAATTGTCTAGGAGACTGTGACTGTCTAGCTGTGCAGGAGAAGAGAAGATCAGTAGTCAACTGGGTTGACTCTTCATCTGAAGGGTCCTTGGAGCTCTGTGGAGATTTGAAATTTACAGACAACATTAGTATATCTCTGTAATAATACAGCAATTCCCTCCATTTAAAGAACTTCCATAGCACCAGTGTGTCCTGCAGCACAGAATTGTGTGGAGATGGGCAGGACAAGCATGCTCCTCATTGGAGAGCCAGGGAGCCAAGGTGGCAGTGCCAGACTACTTTGCCTCCTAATCCTTACGATGGCTCAGAGTTCACTCCTGGCATTTAATAAGATCTTACTTCAAATACAAGACGGTAGCTTATGTTAATGCATGAGTAATTAAAGGCAAATTTGTTTGGCAGGAGTTAGATTAACCTTTTATGCTAACTCTGCAGTTTCACAGTTGGATTAAGCTAATCTGACTCTGGGCTTCTGCCAAAAGTCTTGTTCTCCTCCCTTTCCCTTTGCCTATAACACTAGCAGAAAGGAATCTTATGCTCTCTAACACATGCCACAGAAATTTTTTTTTTCTTTTTAGAGTAAGCTTTCATCCAAATCTAATTTACAGTAAAGCTACATGCTCAATAATGCTAACATGAAGGATGCTATAGAGATTGCTGTCCAGAGGTTGGGAAAGAGAGGGAAAGATAATTCCTTTTGGTTTAACTTAATTCTGATTGGTTTGGTTAGATGCTTGTTTTTCCTGACCCCCAAAAGAACAGTCTTTCATAATAGAGATGAATATTACAATGATTTGAATATTAATACATGACATAAACAGAAGATGATGTATCTGTCTACCTAGGAATAACAGATCTCTTTACATAGGTATGATGCATAGCAAACCAGAAGTAAAAAATAGTAATTACATACCTGCATTTCACACTTGTTGAGATTAAGACTTCTCCGTTTTTCCACATTTTCAGCAGCTTGACTATTAAGTCTTTTTCTTCCCCCTTTTGATTTCTGCAGTGAGATTTGCTGCACTCCCTGTGATTTTAAAGAAAAAAAGCAGGAGAGGGGTAATAAAATCTACAGTTTCTTGTACAGTCTTGTTCAGAGGAATTATTAGCAGCTACAACAGGTCAGGGATCTACACCGGGAGGTGAGAAAGCTCATGAATTGTCAGAGCACTGCCACAAGAATGATTCAAAGCCTAGAACCATAGAATCATCCAGGTTGGA